GAGGAAACAGACCATTAACATTTGTCTATTTATCTTAGAGACTTTCTCATTTTAATTGTCAGTGTTTATGTTTTTTTTTCTGGGTTTCATTTAATGCAGTAAAATGCTGAGTGACTCACTATGGCGTTTTGAGAAATTGAGCATTACCGAAAGTCATTGACCGTGACACACCTTAGAGGTGAATGTCATCGGTGGTGTGTGCACCAATGGTTTCAAATTTTTGGATGCTACATGTTTGGAGTTTGGAAACATCATAGTGGCGGGAAGCAGTGAGCCAAATTTGCTGTTTTTCAGCCAATGCTAAACTCAAAGAACTTAGAACAGTCTCTTGTATGTGTTAAGAAAACAAGTCAAGCTGATATTAATTGAACTGGCCTATGTTTAAAATGTACTTAAAGTATTAGCATTGAAAGAATGTAATTATTTCAAGCGTTAAATCAGCCAAAGTCAACCAAAGTCAAACAAAAGAGAAAGAGTCTTATGGGGATTTCCACCTTGCATCATGAGATGCATATTCAAATAAATTAAGTCTGCCGAATGGGATCTTTGAGTTGAATATACTGACATTTAGTCTGTTGCAATTAGCAGCCAGAGAGGCTAGACAAGATTTTATTGGCTCCCTGCTCTATCTATTTGCATATTTGGTGTTTCTTTCCTCTTGTTTTACCTACCTTTGTGTTGTCTTTCCACCTACACTCTTAAAAAAGATTCTTCAAGGGCTCCTAAGTAAAGAAAATGGTTCTGTTTAGAACCATGAACACTCAAAGAACATGCCATAGATGGTTCTATAAAGAACCTTTTTTGAAAATAGCACCAAAAAGGGTTCTTCTATTGTTACAATGTCAAGCTTGTAGCAATAAAAGAACCCTTTTTGGTGCTACATAGAACCCTTTTCAACAAGGTTGTATATAGAAACATATACAACAGATCCCCTGTCAGTCTGAAGAACCATTTAATGTTGGAAAGAACCCTGTAAGCATGCAAATGATTCTGTGATTGTTCATGGTTCTGTATAGAACCATTTGTTAATAAAGAACCCTTGAAGAACCATCTTTTTTAAGGATGTAGGCTATCCTCCTTTGGGTGTATTCTTCAATTTTGTATTTTGGTTAACCACCTAGCCTGTGAGAAAAGCTGTGAGAGGACTTTACCAAATGATCTATTGCTGGGCAATTTTTAATCTGACTGGGCACTGCAGTGACCACTTTTGAACCAGATAATTGGACCAAAATAGGTTAAAACAACACTAGCAAATCAAGCTCAATGAACCTTAATGGGTTGAAAATGATAGTAGGTGCAGTTTGGCCTATTTTAGTAAATTATGCTGGATCAACAGACTTGCCTTATTTTAAAAGAAACCCATTAAATTTTGTGGAAATTCTTTCCATAATTCAGTTATTTTCAGGTAAGGGATGATATCCTTGCCACAGTTGTGGTTTGAAGTCCATATTTGTGCTCTGAGGGAGGAAATATATTATAATATTTTCCTTAGTGATGTGAATTCTTTCTTTCTGAAAGTGTGCTCTGAAATTCAACCATTTGGCAGCATGGAGCTTCTTTTATATAGTGATAGAAAAGATAGTAGCACACAGCAACCCCAAGTTCCACCTGTTGATCCATTTTACTGTGGACAATGTGGACAATATGCTCCTCAAATAATCAGGGCACTGATTTTAATGAGAGACAAGAAGTCTATGAATGTATCACCAATGAGATGTTAGGTAAGATGTTATGTTTCTGCACTAGTTGTTTGCCATTGTGCTTCTGTTAATGTAGTCAGTTTGTAGCATTCATGCATGCCTGGCCTTGATTTCCTGGTGATTGCATCATGTGGTCTCGCAGCAGGACCAAGCCCTCGTCTTTTTCAGAGTGGTGGGGGGTTACATCAACTTCAACTCAGTAGGCAGTCTGTTCTACTAAATTACATGAAATGGCCTTGACTGACTAGCAGAGATTACAGCACAGAGCTGTCAGGCAAACATTGTCCTGATGGACGAGAATCAAATGCCACTCCATTTGATTCTAGATTGAGATAGCTTTGTTTCCATCGATGTACTTCATAAAGACCGTTCAATTGACCTATCCATGCTCCCACACCCACAAATGCATGCTTTTATAGAGACTATTGCTAAGTCCGACAAGCTTTACAGAACGCTGGCACAAATCACATTCAATCTAATGGGACACTATAATGCACAAATCAGTTTTTGTCATAAAATCTAACTTTAGAAAGAGTTATTCACTTCAAATGATGCTGATTGGCTGCACCTTTAGGACAGACTAAGTGTGGTTTTCTTTTATTGTTAAGTAATTGAGCTGAATTTGTCATGGTAGCAGATTCATTGAGTGCGTTTACGTACACTGAATAATCCAATAAATGCAGAAAATCAGATTTTGTCAGTAATCCGATCAATATGTTTACATGCACTTGTGTAATCAGATAACATGAAAACTCCAGGTCTACATGAGTCAGGCTGTGGTCAGATTTCTGCTTTGCAACCAGCCAATAAACTCACAGAAAAGACGTGACGTAAACATAACGTAAAACAGCTTTTTTTAAAACATTGCGCCACTTTACCTGAAAAAATGAACATGCATCATCTAGAAGATAAAGAAAATTTAAATCCTTTATTTCATCAAGCATGTACATTTCAATGTTGCACCAAAAGTGTTTTGCTGCCATCTCGCAATGGCAATGCTGCTCACTTATATCCAGTACCGCCATCTGTTTTCACACATGCGCAGACTGAGAATTGAGAAAGAAATCAGAGTAAGAGTTTACATGCACTGAGAAATCTGATTGTTCAGCTAAAATCCCTAATATGATTTCTAGACCTTACCCCGATTTTAGAAATCGGAGTATGCTATTTACATGACCATTTGAATAATCATATTTCTGCAGAAATCCGATTATGATCAGACTATTGAGTGCACTTATTGTCATTTCCAACCTGGCTAGTTTCAATTAGCTACAACAGCACAGACCAGCTGAGTAGTGTACCATTTCACACTTGAATTTTAATTCATTAGCTTTCTTTGGAATTTTGGTGAATGTTCAGTAAAGCTTGTTGAGCCTGGCAACAGATGCTATGAAAGGACACATTTGCAGGAGGAACTAGGATACATCAACTGAGTATAATTTCACCGACACTGTCCCATTGAAGAAATAAGGCACCGTCTTTTTGACGGCCCCATGCACATACGTTTTTGGGGGCAGACCGTCTAATCTAATGTTTCAGAGTGTTAAGAGTCTTTCATAGAGCCTAGCTTCAATACCTATTTTTACAATATCAAAAACTTGGTTCAGTGAACTACATTAGTGCCTAATATCACCATTTGTGTGGTTGTTTGGTGCTTCATCTTGTCATTTGTTTAGATGTTTAGTTTTAGCTTTAATTTTTGGTTTAATTATTTGTGAATTCACCTTAAAGAGACCATATGTATTATATAGGTTGTATTTTTAGAGCTGTGACAGGTCAAATTTACTGAGGTGAAATCACCACTGGGAGGTGGTACTGCACCAGAGGGGGCTCCCAAGAGCGATCAAGTTAGTGGAAAGTGGGCCGACCCACTAGATCTATTGGCAAAGCTGAGCCTCATCTTGCTAGTCAGAAATAAAAGAAGGGCCATATTAGATTAGATTATAAAGTGGATAGTTTTGATTCTAAAATCTGATTCAAAGTACTTAAAATACTTGATACATATGCTAAAACTATTGTGCTGCACATGGACTGTTATGCTGCTCACATGGACCACTGAGTGTCCAGATAGATGAAGTAAGAACCTGGCTTTGTTTAAATGGAAGGGCTAAAAACTTAGTTACGTAACAACTAGACAAAAGATAGCAAGCTAATCAGGCTAAAAGACAGCTAACAAGCTAAACTGCCCCTCCATTAAAAAGTGCTGGGCTTTGAGCTGAAGTAACATAATTTACTGAATGATTCAATATACAAAGTAAAGACTATATTCATGTCTTATGCTCTTCAAATGCCCATACTTTTGGTCACATCTGTCTTAAGCAGAATTAAATACCAGTGTGAAAAAATTGTGGTACCATTAGCCTGATGCTAACACAACACAGGAAAGCCCATTGCGATGTTAGTGGAAATTAGCATTATCATTGTGGTGGCAATTTGGTAAGCAGAAACTGGGCTTTTGCAATAAACACTGTATGATATTTTCATTTATATAATAATATAGCTAATAATTAAAAAGTCCATGACATGACTGCAGTATGCAAAGATGGGCGACTGAAAGTTTTTGTCTGGCAGTGCATGGTTGCAACAAAACCACTCATTTGTTGGTAGAGAAATTGCTTACTACTTAAATTAAGTACTGAATATTTGAGTATTTTATCATATTTTATGTTGATGTTTTATAAAAGCAAAAAGCCACTTGGTTGTGTGTTACAGCAATTTTACCATGGCTAAGGGAGTTTATTCTGCTTTCTGTGGTGCCTAATAACAGCACTTACTCATGGTAAAATCACAGTCATACTTTGTAGCTTTATTATACTGACCAAGAGGGCACCTGTACAGTCAGAGGGCAAAAAGGCAGATGCATATGCCCAGTTCCTGGCTTACCTAACCTGGACAGCCACTGTACTGTCTCTGTTTTTTAAGGCTGCTCTCAACTTTATTTGATTTTATTACACATTATTTTATCACTTGTTTGGAAAGCACTGTGAGCAGCTGCTTGTGGGAGTGAGCTCTATAAAAGTTTACTGTTGATATTAAGTTTAATATTATTTAATATGGCTGTACTGTAGATCAGAGAGAGACTGGTTCAGACAGTTTGGGTTTTTAAGCATGGTAGCAGCACATCGCTGAGGCTTTGTAGAAATTCTGACAAGTTTATTTAATCTTCATTGCCATGTTGACTAGAGGGAGAAACTGTTTTTGTTGTTTGTGTGACTTTTGTACGTTTTTTTTTCTTCGTTCTTCTGAAAGCGAGCTCTGATCTCTTCTGACACGTGTGTGTTTGTGTGTCTGTCCTTGCAGATTTGATTACCAGGAGCTGCTACACAACTCTACGTTCTGTCTGGTTCCTCGCGGCCGGCGGCTCGGCTCTTTCCGTTTCCTTGAAGCCCTGCAGGTAGGCGGCTCTCGACTTCGCCTTAATGAAAACGCCCCGCAGGACTCGTGCCTTACACACACACACAGACTCCCAGAGCCGTTCCTATGGCAACCGGCGCTGCCTGGCCGTTCGGGGTCTTGTGGCTACAGAATGCTGATGTTTGGGTTATTGGTATTGACATTCTGTCATTTTTTTCAAAAACAGCTAAAGAAGATTCGTGTTCAGTACTGAGGAAAGAATTATTACCCTCTCTGTCTCTCTCTCTCTCTCTCTCTCTCTCTCTCCCTCTCTCTCCCTTTCTCTCCCTCTCTCTCTCTCAGACCCTACCTCTGGCTATTGTCACCTAATTTTGTTTCTATTTTCTATTTCTCTCCCTCTCTCTCTTGCTAATGTACTTTTTCTCTCTCTCTCTCTCTCTCTCTCTCTCTCTCTCTCTCTCTATCTCTCTCTTTCACACACTCTTGCTCTCTCTACCTCTTTTTCACTCTCTTCTTTCTTTCTCTCTTCCTCACAATCTCTTTTTATTTTTCTCCCCTTTACTCTCCAACTCTCTTTTCTTTTTCTTTCTTTCATTGTCATCTTTCTCTCACTTTCTCTTATTTTCATTGTTGTCTATCTCTTTCTGTTTGCTCTCTTTTTTCTCTCACTCTTTTCTATTTCTGTATCTCTTTTTGCTTTTTTCTTTCTCTTTCTTTCTCTCTTTTTTCTGTTTCCCTCTCTCATCTCTCCCCTTGCTTTCTTTCTTTCTTTCTTTCTTTCTTTGTAGTTCTGTTTTATTCTCTCCTGTATCTCTTCTTCTTTGTGTATCTCTCCTCTCTCTCTCTATTTCTCCTCACTCTCTTATTTCCCTTTTGTTCTTTTTTATTCTTCTTTACTGTCCTTTTCTTTTTTCTTTCAATTTCTTTTTCTTGATTTCTCTATTTCTGTTTTTTTCTTTTTCTGCCCCTTTCTTTCTTTCTTTCTTTCTTTCTTTCTTTCTTTCTTTCTTTCTTTCTTTCTTTCTGCCTCTCTTTCTCTTTCTCTCTCTCTTATTTTCATTCTCTTTTTTTTCTTTCTCCAGTTCTCTTTATCGTTCTCTTATCTTTCTCTCTTTTTCCTGTTCTGCTTCTCTTTATCTTTTCTCCCTCCCTCATTTGTCTATTCCTCTTTCTCTTTCTTTTTCCTCTTTCTATCTCTCATTTTCATTCTTTTTCACTCACTTTCTTTCTATTTCTGTCTTTTTCTCACTATACCATTTTTCTTTCTCTCTTTCTTTTTCTTTCCACTCACCCCCTCCTGTCTCTTTCCCACAATCGCACTTTCTTTTTCTTTCTTTCTTTCTTTCTTTCTTTCTTTCTTTCTTTCTTTCTTTCTTTATTCTCTTTTTCATGTATCTCCTCTCTGTTCCCCCTCTTTTACCTTTTCTCTTTCTTTATCTTTTATCTTTCTCTCCTCTTTTTTCTTTTTCTGTTTTTTTCCATTTCTCTCTCATTCTCTGTCTTTTTTCTCCCACTTCTCCACCTCCCCCCCTCTCTCTCTCACTCGTTCATTAAGTAAGCCCTCCACACAAGAGTTTTATTGAAATTCAGAAACTTCCCAACAAATGTCTGTGTCTTATAAACAAACAGTAAATCTTTTCATTAGCAGGCGCTGAGCGCAGCCGCAGCCCAAATTGTTTAGCAGAAATTAACTTAAGCTTTACCCCATGCATCAACTAATGAAGAGAAACTACTTCTGCAATAGTCCCACTCTTTGTTCTTCTGTTGACTGAAAGGGTTTTGCATTTTATCGTGGCATGTAAGTGCAAACTCATACATTATTTATTACATCTAATCAATATTTTGCTTCTGTTAACTATTGTTTTGGTTTGACTTTTTCTTAATGGTGTGCACCATTGGTTGTTTTGGGAACATTTGTTTCCAAGGAAACACTACATTTGCACCTTTAGTATAAGAATTCCAATTACAATTTTTCATTTTTTTTTTATATTGTTTTGCAGTGTTTTCTTAGTGACAACAAAAGCACCACATTTACTTTTGCATTAAAATGTAGGCATTAGGAACAAAACTAATCATGTCTCTGTAATAACTGTATTATTACATTGTAATTATATCACGTTACTACTAAATGTGAATTGGGCAATTTTGGAATTTACTCTTACTTAAAATTAAGGCATTAGGACCAATGCTATCATGTCTCTGTAATAACTTTATTATTACATTGTAGTTACATGTCTACTAAATGTGTATTAGGCAATTATTGCATTTACTCATATGTAAGATAAGACATTAGGAACAATACTATCATGTCTCTGTAATGAAGTTAGTACATTGTAATTACATGTCAACTAAATGTGTATTAGGCAATTATTGCGTTTACTCATACTTAAAATTAAGCCATTAGAAACATGTCTTTAAAAATATATTTAAACATTGTATTTACTTTTTTTTAATTAATATTGGGCAATTATTGCAGTTACTTGTAGATTGCAGTCATAAACCTACAAAATCAAAGTATGTACCTTTAATATATCAAGATCAGCATTAAATCAGATGAAAACAAGTACAGAATGTGGCTTTCTTGGGTGCTACAACAGTACAAGGCCTCTGTAATGGTTAAATTATTACCATGTAGTTACATAATTAATTCAAATGGATGGATGCTGAAAATTAACAGCAGAAAAAGAAATAGCTGCACATTACAAGGAACATGCAACTGTGTTACATCATGTTAGAAACATACTGCTATTCAAAACAATATTATTACATTGTAGCTACAATTGTATTGCATATTAATAGTGCAACTGTTGCAGTTATTCTTAAATCTATCTTATAATATTCCCCAAAATTTAATACACAAATACAAACTTGTCAAAAATGCTTCAAACAACAGCAGAACAGAGAATATTTGGACATTAAGAGGCAGATGTGGAAACTGTGAGTTCATTTTTTTCACTGCAGTGGGATAATGTGGGCTGAGGGTGGGCAGAATCGCAGGTAGCAAGTCACAAATTGGACTTCCCACTTCTCTAAGAGGATAAAGGGGACAAAAAGGCAAGTCCTGTTGTTTTGCCTCCCTCTCTGTTTCTCTAATCTCCCTCCTCCTTTCATGTGCGAATCGGAGGCTTTCAGTGCTGGACGCTTGTGAAGAGAAAGCTACATCAAAAGGCTTTTAGACGCACTGCAGTCTGAGCAGTGGGCCATCTCAGGAAAGCCCTCTGTCATTAGCCAGTTCAGTGTGCTATAATATGAAGTAGTGATAGATAGAGGGGTGGGCATGCGTGAGGGGAGACCTAGTCCAGTTTTGCCCCTGACACTGAATCTGAGCTGATATTTTTGTTCTTGTAAATTATTCAGCCACTGCAATTGTACAAACCTTTTTATGCAGCCACACTAGTGGCCATTTCTTTTGTTTGTTGATCTGCATTCTTTTTCATTTTTTTTTGTTGCCAGATATGCTAAAATGACTGCAAGCTCTCCTTTCTGTTGCATTTTTTTCTTCTTTCATAACTGCCATTGCTGTTTGTTTATTGGTCCTGTTTGATTTCATGGCATCAGCTCCACTCACAGCCCCCTCAAAAGTATTTAGCATCTCTAACAGTGCAAAGTGTCCTAGAAACACCTACACTTCTTTTTATGAATGCTTTCCACAGTGTGTTTGGTGGTGGTTAAGTTTTATTTAGTTTTTCCATATTTTCACCTCTTTGACGGTGGCCTAAATAGAGCTTGTTGGGGTAAACTAGCTCAAAATATATGTATCAAGTATAATTCTCCTCACTCTCTCTGGAGTAGGATGGCCCTCTCTCCCTCCCATCACTCAATAGCCATGTTTACATGCAGCCTAATAATCTGTTAATAATCCATCTAATAGCTCAATCGGAATAGAATACATCCATGTATACACCTCAATCGGAATAAGCTAGTCCGATTGAGGCCATTCGGAATACAATTCCTGTCCGATTAAATGAGGTGGGTAATCCTGTAAATAATCTGTTAAACAGAAGAATAATATCCATGTAAACACCTGTATCTGATTACATTCCCAGTCAGAAAGTTTCAGTACGTTCTGCATGTGAGTCACGTCATAGTGAAAGTTTATAACATCAACATAGCGGGAGCAGAAACTGGTCTGCAGAGAAGATGAAGTTTATGCTCTGATCTTTAAAAGATCTCGGCCTTCTTTAATAAGGACATGTGAAGGACGTTTTCCTGAGTCTGACATCATTTTAAAGTAATTAAAAACACAAGCACTGCTCACTGCTGCTCGTCTCACTCTGACTGGACTCACGTGATGCTCGTTGTCATGGTAACGTCTACACTAAGCTATGCTCTATGCATGTGCATAATTTTGGATCTGATTACTTGTAGTGCAGCATGTAAACGGAGATTTTCCATCAGATTGTTGAGTAGAGTGAGCATAAACACCTCAGTCTTAATCTATAATCACAGAATGTATTCAATCGGATTGGCAAAGATCTCTGCATGTAAACAGAGCCAATGTGATGCAAGCCAACATGTATGTTAGCTGACATAACAGAACTAGCAGTTAGGGTTCTCCTGCAAGCGTGTTGAGCTGTTCAATGACGTTGCATTAGCGGCAATTTGAAAAGATGTGGTGTGGAGCATCATGAGATAGGAAGACCTAACTGCAATCTTAAAAAGGACAGTTCTCCAAGTGTTCATTAGTAAACACAATGGTTCTCAAAGAACCATCACAGAACCATTTTCAAGCTTACATCGTTCTTCGTATGGTAAAATAGTTGTATATAGTTTCATATAGTACCTTTTCGAAAATGGAAAACTCTTAAGAAAGGTGGTTCTTCAAGAACCATGAACACACAAAGAATCCTATAAATGATTAATGGGTTCTTTGCATCAAGTGTTCTTCAGATTAATGGATAATGTGATGAAGATGAGGGTATACAACACCAAAAGGGTTCTGCTATTCATACACAGTTGAGCTTGTAACAATAGAAGAACTTTTTTTCTTTTTGGTGCTATATAAAAACATTTTCAAAAAAGTTCTAAAAAGAAAAATGT